CCGCCTTCTCCCGCCCGGCTCCGCGCCCCCCGACCCATCCCTGCATTTCTCCACACCGTCAGCGATCCCCCAACTCAGCCGGCACAGCCTCGAGCGAGGTGTGCGGAGAGCGAGAAGAGGAGCGCCGAGGGGGACCAGGAACCCCGCCGCCCAGCCTCCACCCCTCTCCCGTAGCTCTAACACTCGAGCCTCCCCGCCTATCCTATCGGCCCCGTTCCCCTCTCCAGGGCTCCGCCAGCCCCGCTGCAAGGTCGCGGATCTCTAAACAGGTAGAGTTCGGATTCCCCCTAAAACCCCTCTGATCCCTCCTAGTCCCCCAGCCGAGGTTCCAGCCGTGACTACAGGCGCTGCGTAAAGAGAAAAACTCCCCCAGAGCACTAAATAAATACAGACGAGGCTGCCAGCTCATTGGTACGGACTAAAATCGTCACCCACCAATCAGGAGAGAGCTCACATTTTCTTCTTCCCTTTTTTTTTTTCCATAAGGGGGAGGGAGAAAAAAAATATTTCCATTTCTAATTATTCAACAAAACCCAGATTGGAACACGTTAAAATATTGTTGTTGCAAAAAAGCTGGCCATGACCCCTATTCTAGCCCAGGTGAGGGGAGGGGCGCGAGATATTGGGCAAACGGGGTTCAAGAGCGCGACCTCTCCCAAAGGGACCCAAACCAGAAGATTCTGACAGAGAATGACAGGCAAAGATGAATATAAAATAATCCCGAAGTCCACCCTAGTCAGCCTATTTCTATAATATGGTAATCTCCCCCCCCCTCCAGTTCTCAATGCTCAGTAGGAACATTCTCACCCTCCCCCAAACCCGTCTAGATATTGGGTGTCTAATAGCCCACTCGCCTCAGATGCCCTTTCATTGCTGCAGCCCCTCCCCCCACTCCGTACCCATTCTGCAGATTAGTGGGGGAACAGCAAGTCTGGAGCCCCTCACAGACCGCCGCCTCCTACAGATGCGAGAATCCAGCATCTGCAGGGGGGGAGCGGGGGGAGGGGAGGAAGGGAGACTGGAGTGGAAGAAGGACCGGAGATCTCTTTCCTACGTTCACCCTCCTTCCCTCTTCCTTTTCTCCCTCTAGGTACCCTCCGGCACCCCAAAATCCAGACTTGGAGAGGGTGCCTTCCTACTTCCCAGGGCAGCGCCACCCTTCCAAAGCCCCTCTTGTCCCGCCCCCCTCCGCCCCAACAGTGTCCAAGAATGGTGTGACCATCTCCCTCCCCAGCGGTAGTCACCCGGTAGGGAAAAACACAGCCAAGGTAGGATGCTGCAAAATTGCAATAACTTAGGGCGAAAGTTGCCATATTTGTTCTTTGCCACCTTGGAATCGACGTGCGCTGGCGCGCACACGCGCACACACACACACACACACACACACTTGCTCAGCACGCCGGGAGAAAACGTAGCTAGACGAAGTAGTCACTGTCTCCTGTC